TTTCAAAGGTGGAAATGGGCTTGAAGGAACAACTGCCTGTGGTGCCCCACAGCAAAGGCGGCCTCCCTTTTGATTCTTCAGTCATTCTTCAGCTCAAGCTGTTGAAGTACCGGAATATGAACTTTGTTTTGCTGAATGGGGTAGAGCTCTTTTTGGTTTTCATTATGAAGACAGACTGGGGTAGCCATTCATAAGTTAACTGGATTTCTTTTCCTATACCCCCTGTGTTATGGGAGGGTGAATGCCAAATTTCCCATAGGGTCATAACAGTCAATGATTGGCTGCTGATCTCCTGCCTGTGATGACATTGATGTCACATTTTGAAGGAAATGGAGATAAGACAGATGGAGATCACTGTTGCTGAATCGGTGATTGGGGTCTTTGTCCTCTCCAAGTACTTGGGCCAACATAACATGCATAGGGACATGGCACTTGGCCCGTGTTCTGGAGAGTGGTTGTTATGCCAGCATGTCTGATCACATTTTAGGGTCTGTAGGCACTTTTAAGATTCTGCTTTAGATTGGCAATTCTTGGCCTAGACCCAATTACTTTATTGTTCGGTGATATAATTTTGAGCAGCATCTTTTAATTGCAATTGAGAGTCTGATTTACAATGGGGAAACCCCCACCCCATGTCTGACTAGTTGAAGTGAAGAAAGAGTTCCAGGTTTGATGAGACATTCAGAAGGCCAGGAAGACATATGTATATTCGGCATAAGTTTTCCTTTAAATAGGCCGGTACTTTGCATACTTATTGCTTGAAATAATTTCCTGCTATTGCCAATTAAAATTCTATTCACATGTAAGTAAATGTTTCCACTTATGATCTCATTCACTTTTCTAGTATAAATGGAATGATTAGTTTCTGGACTCTACCACTGTAGATGATCTATGAAAGCCCATCAGGATCTCATGCATGTGAGAGCAAACTGCTTGTACGCCAGATGGGGAAATGTGAACGCAACAAATGGATCGCATTAGGCAAACTGGGGAGTAAGAGGTGAAAATAGACCAGTCCAGTCTCCCCTCCCCACTTTGCTCTCCATCTTTGGATATATGTATCACCTGTTTGATTGTCATACCATGCTGATGTCTTATTCATGTTGTGTTTATTGTACCTGTATCCCCCTCTTTATTTCATGCGCTGTGCATTCTATAACCTACAGTACTGATGGTGGGAGGATATAATATTCTAATGGTGACGTCACATCCAGCTTTTGATATCTAAGCTTTGTAACATGGTATTAGGTGAGTGTGATTACCAACACAAGGCTGCAATGAGTGCTAGAGATTAGGGCCTTCTTTTTAGGTATTTCTTTGCGTTCTTGTTTATTGCCACCCACGAACCAATATGCATCGTCTTTATCGCCTAACCCTTGGCGCTAGTACCTGTAGCCCTGTGTTTTAGGAATGGATTGGCGAATGCATTTCTCTATATTGCCAGGGTGAGTCTGCTGTCAGTGTGTTTCTGAAGGATCCTTTGGCTTCAGTGTTGGTCATAAGAACCTTGTGCAAATAGTGCCTTGAGTGGATGCCCCTTGTTGGTCACGGCCTCTTGGTGACTTCTTAGATGCTAACACCACGGTAGTCAAATGGTTGGGAGTTAGGGGGTTCTAAACCAGGAACACTGCTCCTTCAGCCTGCTGAGTCTGGGATCCGGCCCTCTCCGTGAAGGAACGTCTAGTCAGTGTGGGGGGGACATCTGTTGGACTTTTTGGCCATCTGATCCCAGGAAATTCTAGGTATATGGGTTCAAAGCGTCATATCCAGGGGCTACAAACTAGAGTTTTTCAGTCTGTCTCCTCCACTTCATTCTTTTAAACATGCCATGCTCCCTGCAAAAGCATGCAGATCTCTTTGCTACTTTCCAACAGCTCCTCTCCCAGGAGGTCATAATCCCAGTTCCAATTGAGGAAAGATTGCGGGGATTCTACTCTTGTTCACTGTCCTCGAGGCGAAAGGATGCATTTGCCTGTTGAGAAGTTTTCTCGACAGGTTCTTTTGGGTTCAGAAATCAGCCTGGTCAGTCATCACCCCCTTTCAACATGGGAATCTCCTGGCCTCGATAGACATCAAGCACGCCTACGTGCACATCCCTCGGATTTTCCCCAAGGCGCTTCCCTGTTCCTACCTCAGCCTTGTTCTTGGGGTATCCACATAGTGGAATGTCAGGATGATCTGCTTCTGAAGGATCGGTTTCTCCAGGTCTTGTCAGCCAACATCCATCAGACCCTGTGCTGCTTTGGATGGATCCTCAATTTCCAGCAATCTGCTCTGGATCCACCTCATCAGTATCTGGGCCTGATCTTTGGATATGGCCCAATTCAGGGTCTTTCTTCCCCAAGGTGAACTTCTTCCCCTCTGCTAACGTGTTTGGTTCCTTCAGTGCAAGTCACCATTTGGTTTTTTTGCATGAGGGTTCTTGGTAGCTTCATTCCGGGCAATATTGTTCACACAGTTTCACTCACTGGATTGCCACATGCTCCGGACCAGCTTTGCAGAACTCTGATGTTGTTGAGTTCCAGCCTTGTGCTGAAGTCCGGGAAAACCCAATAGCATTGCAGCTTTCGGGCATGACTGCTCTCTTCCTGGACTGCATCCCCAGCAGGCTTTGATTACACGATTGCTGGGCATAATGTTTTTTTTCTGTGTTTGAGATGCCGGAAGGGAGTCTGGTGATTAGAATAGTGTCATTTTAGGGAAAAATAAAAAGACCAATCATGGGTTTTGATGCTGTTCATTATAATCTAATACAATGATTGCCACGGGTCCTCTTCATACTGGTTACAGATGTCTATTGTTGATGTGTTTTCCTGCACTGTACCACACCTGGAGTTGCATACTAAATGCGAGAGCTGCAGCGGTATAAGCCTGAGCTGTATAGACATGTTTACATCTGGTGCATGGAACCTTGAAGCAAATATCAGCAGGCAGATGCTACCTGCTTTAAAGAAGAACTCCGGGCGAATAAAATCTTAACCCTTGCTGGGTGGCTACTCCCGCCCAGCTAAGGGTAAGTGCCATTTTGTCTAGGGAACTAAAATAACGGAGTTCTACTTACCTGAACCACAATCCGCCAGGGGGGCTGGAGGGGAGAGCAGAACGGCCAGGAAGAGAAGAGGTGTGAGAAGGCGGTGAAAAGCTGAAGAGTACCAAACAGCTTGATGAGCTGGAAAAAGTGATCACAACACAGAACTGTAATACCACTTTTCACTGTCCAATCACAGGCTGAGGAAGGTCCAGGAGCACCTGGGCCCAGAATAAGTGGGTTGAATGATGCTGGCCTACTGCACTACAAACTAGAGTACTATTGCATAGCACACTGTACCTTTTTAATGCTCCCAGGTATGCATCTGTACACAATTTCACTGCTCCCAAGTATGAATCTGTACATATGCACCAAGCAAAGCCAGCCCTGAGAGCGTCAGCGTCCTGCACAACGCGATCATTAAAGCACACAAATTCAAACTCTGAAAAGGGTTTTATTTAAAAATGAGCTCCATCCTTATTTAAAATGCTTCATAACCTTAAAGGAGAACTATGGGGTCAGGGCTTTTCCCCATAGTTCTCCTAAGGGTAACTGGAGGACACAAACTAGTGTCCTCCCGTCACCCAAAGCTCAGTATACCGCGAGCTGTAGCTCGCGGTATACGGAGACCGCCGCAGCCGGGATGGATCACGACTTTACTGTCGAGATCCACCCAGCTGCGGGATTGACAGCTGGCTCTATCTAGAGGCAGAGCCAGCTTTACCCACCCCCTCCCCCATCCGTTCCGCCAGTCAGCGCTGGAGGATCGGACAGGGGTCACGGCTCTCTGCAGGGATAGATCGAGAAGTGAGCGAGGGGCGATATGTGTTCGGTCACTTCCCGATCTATTGAGCCGACATGCAACAGTTTCATTGTCACACGTCGGCTAGAACTATGAGGCTGAGTTATTTTCACTTGCCTCATAGTTCTCCTTTTTAAGCCTTAATTCAAGGTAAAAGGCCACATACACAGATGAAATACATAGTAGGGCTGTTTTACTTGCCAAATGATTTGAATTTGTCAATCCAGTCCTGAGAATGAAATGGCTTTTCCATACAGTACAACCCTTTTCTGTCAGGACAAAAGGCCTGATTGTGCTCTACTGCTGTTGGATGACCTTTCTTTATTCCCTTTCATTAAATATCACATCAGCGTACAGCTCTGCATGCTGATATGAAATAATCTCGCATTCATTAGTGAAACACATTCATATTTTACTTACAATGACTGTTTCCACTTCTTGGTAATTAGTGATGTAACCTGTGCCTCAGCGTTGCATCCTCGGAAGGTTACATCACAGAGCATTGCTGGGAAATCTCATCTGTATCTCGTGAGATCTCAGGGAAAAGTCATTTTCCTCCCCTGAGGTGATGGGCATGGTCACATGTTCCAGGAAGTATAGGGAGATGGATTAATCTGCCCATTAGTAAAAATGGCCACTGTGAGAAGAATGGGGAGGAAAGGAAAAATTAAGGTATGCAAGGAATAAAAATCCGGCAATTATCTATAAGATTCTATTTGTAGATTGTCATTACTAATATTTCTAAAGGTGTTTGTTTCAAAGATATTGTCCTTTCCCTAGCCTGTGACTGGACAGTTGAAGGAGAAGCAGCAGAATGAGTGCAATCTATCACTTTGCACTCTCCTCCTATATATCGCCACGCTCCTTGTTAGCACACAAGCACTACATCAAAACTGGATCTATGGGCTGCTTCTACCTCAAGTTTAAGCTCTGCTGCACAGGGCACTGTAAGCTGCTGCTGCCAGGTCAAATTCATGTAGTAATCAACTTTAATGTAAAAATATGCAATTTAATGATGTATCAATACAGCGCTGATTTGTTTTCTATCTTCCTGAAGTTAGGCTTTAGGTTCCATCAAAAGGTTTATTCCTGCTTTAGATCAGAACTATGACTAGAAACATTGAATCTTTGTATTGCCTCCTTTTAACAACGATCTCGTTTCTCTTTCAGGTCCAGCGTGAACTTTCTCTTCTTGAAGCATTATGTCCTCCATCTTGCCCTTCACGCCGCCGGTTGTGAAACGCCTCCTCGGCTGGAAGAAGTCCGCCAGTGGGGCTGGAGGGGGAGAGCAGAACGGCCAGGAAGAGAAGTGGTGCGAGAAGGCGGTTAAAAGCTTGGTGAAAAAGCTGAAGAAAACTGGACAGCTCGACGAGCTGGAAAAAGCGATCACCACACAGAACTGCAATACCAAATGTGTTACCATCCCAAGGTATGTCTGGAATCACTGCCCTGTCATTGGTCTACGAGGACAGGAAGGCAGTGTCATTGTATTGGAGTAGCCGATTAACATCCCTGGCGGTGTGTGGTACAGACCAGATATATTAACCTGAATGACATTACTAACATTCACTCATGTGACCGGGTGTTGTGCTCACCTTACCAATGTATGAGCTTTTATGTCAATGACAACATGCCCATCAAGGTGATGTTGTATTATGAGAGTTTTGAAATGTGTTTTTTGTGTAACTAGAGCCACAACTTAAAGTGAACCTGTCTCCATATATAACATACTAACATTGTCTAATTACCTGATAGATACCTGAAGGTGCCTGCACATACATGACAGACGTGCAAACCCAGGAGCAAGCTGTATGTAAATCTCACCTTCCCAACTAAGGCAGAAGTAAACCAATGACCAGGCTATGGGCCTTTAAAGTTTAATGCTTATTAAGAATATGTAAAGCCCTACTGAACTTTCAGTTTAAATCTGCTAATATATTCCAGTCACAAAAAACAAACGGGGCGTGAAATCTTAGTTTTTTTTTTCTTTAGAAGGTAACCACAGCCTGTTCCCTGATTGCAGAGAAGGACCCCTGCTCTCTGTAGAAGCACTGGTCTCTCTGCAGAGGTACAGCATGCTCCCCAGCTGAGTCACAACTAGGGCTCTCCATTCCGGGATCATACAATTTGCTGATTGTGGAGTTCTAGGTCTGACTCAGCAGAGGGCACCTCTGCAGAGGGACTGCACACCAGCCTGGTGCAATTGCTTTTTTTAGTTACTGACTTCTTCCTATTTGCTTCTTCTGGGGTTACGTGACCTGTTGCATCCATTGTATTGCCGGTTTCTGCCTCTTGGATCATGGTTCTTTTAGGACATTCGGAAGCAGCTGCAGATGGAGATCTTTTTTCCTAGTCTTTTAGAAAGACCATCACTTTCACACAGAACAAGGGTCCTTCTCTGCAGCAGCTGGCCCGGGACAGGATTTTCTAAGTGGCCCGTGAGTTCTTTCTGAAGAAAATGAACTGTAAGACTTTGCGCGCTTTTGGTTTTGATACCAGGAATGTATAAAGCTGATTTAATCTGAAACAAGCTCTTACTGACCTCTGTAGCTGCAGGCACTGTGGAGAAATCCATCCAAGGATTGCAACAGAGCTTTTGTAATGCCTAGTAATGTAAACAAACAGCTGGTGCAGTAACCTGCTGGGAAAGGACTGCAACCAGAATTCAGAGTCTCAGTTGCAAATGTGAGGATGAGTTACTCCACAGTGGCTGCAATTACAGAGGTCACTTTCATTTAAAGCATATTTTCTGCTCATTAAAATGTTAATACCTGAATGCCCATAGCCTGGCCAAAGGTTCACTTTAAGGGCTCTTGATGTGGCCAATCCCTTCCCTGGTATCTCACAATAGAAAGTGCCTGTTTGCTCTAGTATTGGCTATGTACAGTGGTTTGTGATGAATCCTTCACTCAACTTCCCTTGCAGCGTTAGGTTTTTTTTCATTTATTCCTCCAACAACACCACTATCATCCTGGAGTTTTCTTGTGTTTCCTTGTGTTACATTCCTACAATTGTGCCCATTTTCTCTCAGTTTTGATATGTGACTTTTTAAGTAAGGGACTGATGTGAAGTATTCTCTGTAAAATTCTACAGAAAAAAACACCAGTGCTGCCTAAAGCTGAACTCCAGGCAAACGGCTGAATGCACAGATCAAGTACATGTGTGGTAGCTGCTTTGCTTGCCAAAGGATTTGTATTTCTGTCCATCCAGTTTGGTGATATACAAAGATCTGGAACATAGAGTTGCCTTGTCTGGTAGCGCAGGAGACCTGATTTTTCTCTGCTGCAGTCCAGTAACACTTACAGGTCTTGTCCTTTCCCCACCCTGAGACTGGACAGTGAAAGGAGAAAAAACACGGATGAGGGAATCTCTAACTCTGCTTTCTCCTATGAGCATGCTTCTTTTTGGCACATGAGCACTGCTGCACAGAAGACTGGCTCCTTGTCTCTCCCACTCATAGTCTGTGCTCTGCTGAACAGCATATAGCAAGAGGTCACATATACCTCATGGATTAAAAACACATTTAGGGCCCAATGACATTAGTATGGTGTGTCAATGTACATGCGTTGCAGCATCCTATTCCAAATGAATGGGCTACCAATGCATCCTAACAACATTCTTAGAATTGCAGCACACTAATGTGCGTTGCAGCGTGCTACAGTGCAGGTGCGTCGCTTCAGTATGTTTGGGTGCTAGTTAAAAAGCAGTGTAAACCTGACCTCAGTGATGTATTGATGAATACAAAGCTGAATTGATGTGTGCGACCTTTATTTCTGCCTGGAGTTCAGCTTAATATGATCAAATAATTCGGGGGGAGAGGTTTGTGTTCTAAAATGGACGTATGAGCGGCCAGTATGAGGTACCCAAAACTGGGGAACGTATGAGCAGGCAGTATGAGGTACCCAAAACTGGGGAACTGGCTGATGATATGGAGTGACTGACAATCCACCAAAACATGGAAACTATTTCTGTACTAACAATCCTGTGACATCTCTGCGGACACCCCGCCCCCACCTTCTTCCTTCCAAGGTTTGGTCCTCACGCTGTTGGGGTTCTCATGTATTTTATGTCATGGTTGTATAAACCATAGAAAAGGGATGCACCGATACCAGTTTTTCGGTACCAGTCCCTCGTCCAGTTGGGCAGACACCGCTCTCCCGGATCTGCCCAAGGGTCGTGTCGCCATATCAGATTTGTTTGCCCGGCTTGACACTGATTGGCTGGCTTCCTGGCCAATCACCGTCGAGCCGGCCAAACAGCATGGAGCCAGCCCCCCAGCTCCATGTTCCCTCGCGGCACTGCTGTTCAGAGGAAATCTCCCTCTAACCAGAAGTTCCAGTATCAGGAAAGGTATTGAAGCATTTGGACGAGTACTCGCTATCGGCACCGATACTAGTATTGGCATCGGTGCATCCCTAGAAGAAAGCCTCCAGCAGTAGTGGGATCTGAGAATTGTCGGGTGGGGATAGTTTTCATGAAATAAGATATTCAACTAAGTGAATATCTGGTTAAGTTAGAGCCTGCCATGTTGAATTACTCGCCTTGCGCTATGGTGACCATACATATTTGTTTTTGGCACTTGAAACCAACTTTGGCAAAGGGATGGAACAGATCAAGGCAACTTGCTACCAGCTGTTAATCTATGTATAAGGCAGGGTAGGGTAGTAGGTAGGGGTGTTTGATTTCTGCAATTGATTAAGGGCCCAGTCACACCGCATCTATTTTGTTGCAATGCATTTTTCAAGGGATGCTAATGGAAGGGCAAAAAAAATAAATGGGTGTGTAAATGGGGTTAGTGCACATTGCTCCGTTCTATTGCATGGCGCTGAAAAAAAAAGTAGAACAAGCACTACTTCAGCGCAACGCATTGGATCCGGTATGAACGAACCCATTCACACACAATTTTGGGTGCCCTTCAGTTGGCATCCGTTGAAAAAAAGCATCGCAAAGCAACGGATTGGAAGGAAATCGGAAGGTAGAATTGACCCTCCATTGACTTGCAATTCTGATTTTGGTGTGAATGCACCCCAGCAGTTGGTTGCTGGCCAGCATTGGGAATCTGCTCTCCTGCTGTGTGTTAGGAGTAGTCTCACTTCCACCTACGGTTTTCCCATTTTAGTTTTTATTAGGGTCCAACTGATCAGAAGACGATTAATCGATTATTGAAAAAGTTGACAACTTTTTCAATAATCGATTATGTCGATTAGTTGTTGCAGCCCTATTAGGGAGTGTTGTAGTAGGAGAGGAGTGTTGTAGTAGTAGGAGAGAGGAGTGTTGTAGTAGTAGGACAGGAGTTCAACTCCATATGGGTGGTGGCAAGCTTGGAACTGTTGGTGAAGGTTTATAGAAAACGAAGAAGTCCACGGACTCTTTCGTCCATCCAGAGTTAACACACAAATTAACTACCTCCGGGCCGGCCGTAGTAAAAAAACGGCCGGTAAATTCATCTCAGTACAGCGTTGCATGACGGAATGAAAGTCAGTCAAAGTATCGCAGCGCTGAATACTGAAAAATGGCCTGGCCTGGCCAGGAAGGGGGTCTAAACACCTGGTCTTGAAGTGGTTAAAGGAGAACTATGAGATGAGTGCTTTTCACTCACCTCATAGTTCTAGCCGACCTGTGACAATGAGACTGTCACAGGTCGGCTCAGTAGATCGGGAAGTGAGCAAACGCATACCGGGTTCGCTCACCTCTCGATCCTGTCACGGCTCTCTGCCGTGACAGGGGGAGGGGCTGGATTCCCTTCTCCCCCCTCTGATCTGCCATCGCTGACTGGCGGAACGGATGGGGGAGGGGGCGGGTACAGCTGGCTCTGCCTATCTAGAGCCTGCTGTCACTCACGCAGCTGGGCGGATCCCGTCTAAGTCAGGATCCGCTGCTGCGTCTCAGTATACCGTGAGTTGTAGCTCGTGGTATACTGAGCTTAGGGTAACGGGAGGACGCTAGTTTGTGTCCTCCCGTTTACCCTAAGGAGAACTATGGGGAAAAACACTGACTCCATAGTTCTCCTTTTAAAGTCTTGTGCCACATGCAGTGAAATATCAACTTCGATTTGTCAGCGTCTACTCTTGGAGAGGCTGCATAAAAAAAGATTGCATTCCCTACTGTAATGTTCTCAAAAACTCCCGGAGTCCCAGCACCAGTCTAAGCTCCATTTCAAAGCAGTGAGCTGCATAAAGGACCAGTACTTTTTGCAGCAGTTCAACACTGTCCAGTTAGAGCTCCCCGGTCAGCAGAAAGTGAGCTTTGTGTGCTGGACTGCTGCAGAGAGACCACTGCTTACACACAGATCTCCAATTCAGATAGCCAAGTTCTTCTGAGCAATTTTAAATCAAACTTTCCTGACGACATCAGACCTGGGGCCACGGAGCATGTAAGTCAGGCTTTAAGGCCCTGTTCACATTGAGCGATTTACCGCGTGGTAATTCC